TTTTGTAGAATAACCTAACCTAGTTTATAATAGTATTATTTTCATAGATTATGATTATATATATATATTTTTATTTTTCATTAAAATGAAGTTTACCATGAGTGTACTTGCATTATTATGCTATATTGTCATACTGTCATTAATCAGTGGTATAAAATGGTCTTAAAATGGCAATTATATAATTTATCGCAATTAATTTTGTTGCAATATATTGCACAACAGAAAGTAGTTATCGTGACAGCCCTACACTTGAGTTGTTTTGTAACACTCTAAAGAGAAAGGAAAAAATGAAATCGCATCATATGACCCCTTTAAATAATATATGTTCCCTTCAGTCATAGATTGTGCATATATGATATCTTGGTGTGCTCAACAGACTTTAGAATGTGATATGATCATTGTAGTCGACATAATACTTTATTCCTCCAGGAATCTATTCACAATTTCTGTTATTGATATCTTTGCATTTACTTTTTTCATGTTTTTTTATTTGTATGCATTATCCAACCAGGCTCGTTGGAAATACGTGAGTTTGGCTACATTTCTGCAAAACTGCAAAAACCTGTTCGACCAGAGCGGCCAGTGGGAAGAATGAGTCTGGAGCCCTGGGTTGGGTTAAATGTTTGACCCAACATGCTGGGTAGGGCTGCTCGATTATGGCAAAAATCATAATCACGATTATTTTGGTCAATATTGAAATCACAATTATGAGTGGGTCATATGACCAAAACTTTATACGAGTGATTAATTTAAAGATAGCAGTATGTATCAAATATACATTTTCTGTAAATAAGGTTGCTTTGACATAGCTATACATTTTACATACCAGCAAAATTTCACAATTCTCAATACCACAGCAGAATACTAGCATAATTATATTCAATTAAATTCAATTCAAGTTTATATTTGTATAGTGCTTTTGACAATACAAAGTATTGCAAAGCAGCTTTACAGAAAATTAAGTTTCTACAATCAAAAGTCCAGAGTTTTGTGACCTTAGGGAGCGTGATGGATTGTGGTAGAAGACTAGTTAGGTACGCAGGAGCTAACCCATTAAGGGCCTTATAGGCAAGTAATAATATTTTGTAACTGATACGGAACTTAATAGGTAGCCAGTGCAGAGACTGTAAAATTGGGGTAATATGATCATATTTTCTTGACCTGGTAAGGACTCTAGCCGCTGCATTTTGAACTACATGTAGCTTGTTTATTGAGGATGCAGGACAACTTATATAAGTTAAGAAAAATCCTAAAAAATTATTGAAAAATAAATAAACAGTCATAAAAACAAAAAGCAAAGGTCAAATATAATAGAAAAAAGATACAAATGAAACGGTGTTAATTTTTTTTAATGCATATCTAAAGTATTCAGCTAATAGCCTACAAAAATTGAATAATCAAATGGAAAATAAAACAGCATAGTCTTCACTGTAAGAATTAAACATGCTTTGTTTCTTATTAAAGCAACAAAAGTCCTTCAGTCAAGAGCAATGAGTAATTTTCTCTGTTATTTGTTGTTTGATTAGTATTAAGCACACATACAAAGGAAGGAATATTACCTGTTGTTGCTTTAAGAGCTGCATGGATCCAGTAACAGTTATACGTATTTTCATTTTCAACTGTTTACGTTCACTTAAATATAACTGATGAGGGTTTACATTAATAATCACCAAATGCCACATTTCTGCGTGTATTTGACAGTTTAGGTATGCATCTCAAGATAAACGTTCACTTTACTTCTCAGTAGGGCTGCACGATAAATCGCATGCGATATTTAACGCGCATCTTGTCAGTAAAGCCGGTTCTTTAATCAGCAGTAAATCTCCATCACCTGCAGGCTTTCACATGGAGCAGCATTAACTACACAGAGCCGTTGTTCACCGACAAGCTGCGCAAAAC